ACAACAAAATGGCTAAAACCACACAGAAAAAAGAAGAAACACACAAACGTGGCCCCAAAGGCGCCGTTGCATTGGTATTTTAAACACTGCCAAGGCGCATAATCAAAACGCTTAAATTATAATAACTTTATTAAGTCTCGACTCGAGCAGCGATCCACCCGCGCCCTTTTTGCCTAGATCCAAAAAGGAAAAAAAAAACAGGTGTATTGCAGAAAGAAAGCCAGAAACAAAGCAACAACAACAAACAAATGGCAAACAGAAAAAACAAAAACAAAAAAAAAGCAAAACAAAAAAAACAAAAACAGGAAAAAACGATTGTCTGCTGGGCGCTTTTATTATTTCTTTCGAGTGGATTTTACTTTGTACACACTCGAAGCATTGTTGGTAGAGGTTGCTGCCTGCTGTTTATGATTGTTTTTTCATTTTCTCAAGTGATGAGTAGGATATCTGTCTGCTGGTGTAGCCACAGAATCGAGCAACAAGCTATTTGCGACTCACGACTTTTCATGCAATTTTGAATTTAAAATTCTTCACACACTCTTTTCATTATGTGGCTTCAATCCAGCTCCTCCAGATAGATCCCCCATACCATTCCGATCCCCCCTTGAAAATCCCCTTCTAGGGTAAAATCAACGGCCCGCCATCGAAGTCGAAGGCAGCGCAAAATAAGATGCTACTCTTGTGGCCATCTTTGAAGTGGTTGTTGTAATGGGTGTAAGTCCGCAAGAGTGTGTGTGTGTGTGTGTGTGTTTGTGTTGAATGTGTGTGCGAGAGTGTGGAACCACCGGAGGAAGACGCCTCACAATCACGCGCCATTCAAGTTTGGATTGTCGCTCCAGAAACAATCACAGTGGTTATAACGATATGGCTAAGAAATCAGTTAAGGAAGAAGTTACAAAATTTAAGAAAATATTTGTAATAAAACACTTTAAAATTTTTATTTTGTATATTTTTGCAACATTGATTTAAGCTTCAAGAAATATCAGTCTTTATATTTATATTAAATTTGCACAAAGGTGAGTTGTTAGTTTACACATGATTAAATCCTCCAAATTTAATTACTATTTTAAAATCAATATTTTCCTTTTCTTGACTTCACGTATATACATATTTTTTCTGGAGAAGCAAGAAACATTTTAACAACAAATAACATTTTTAGTAAAACTATAAACTATTGTTAGTTGCTTTTTAATAATAAAAAATAATTTGTATAATAAATATAATATAAATATTTCCCACGCCGAAACCACTGTTCACTGTTCTTGAAGCATTTGGAGCATTTGCGATGACGATGACTGGCCGCTTGGCCGGCTCTGTGGATCTGGCTTTGGTCCCAAGTCTGACTCTCGGCTCAGCTGCTGATGATGACTTGGAGCTGGTCTCCGATTCGAGGGAATGAACGGATCGCCGCCACTTGGTGGTCCAATTCAACGAATTGACTATAATCAGTCTAGTGCCAAGTACGTTTCAAGTGTCTACTCATGCACTTCTGTGTAGCATGTGCTGGGCAACGGCAACGCCAAGAGCCAAGAGTCCATAGCCCAGAGGGCCAAGAGCTGAGAGCCAAGAGGTGCAGCCGCCGATGCCGGCCGGCGGTGCTAAGTTGGCTTAGCTAAGTTGGCTGGTGGGTCGGTGAGTTCCAAGTGGTTTGCTCTCATATGCAAATGGGGACTCCCGCTCCCGATCCGAGTCCGAATCCCGCCACTCGACGCAGCTCTCACGAGTGCCGCGGCGCACAAAATTAATTTATTACAATGCAACAAATTACAACACTCATTAATATTTTAGCCAAGTTTTGTGGGTGCACGGAGAAAAATAATCTGTTTATAGTAGCAGTTTATATATAAATAAATTTACTAAGTTCATTATTACATGTTCTTGTTGAACCATCTGTAAAGTAAAAATCTTATAGATTACGATTTCACTTTAAATCTTTTGATATCATACACCATTCAGATTATTATCATTCTACCTAAGCCCTAACAAACACATAAACAATTTTGTTAATATCCAATTTGTATTTGCGAAATTGTAAAATACATTGCCTAATTTTTCCTGAGTGCATGTTGCATAGTTGGTCAAGAGTTGTAACATGTGACTGGCCTGGAATTTTATTCGCCGACAGGTCCAAGGAAGCTTGTAACCGCATGTTGACTGGTTCAGTAAAAATAGCCGCATGGGAAGGAGAGGGGGAAAAGGGCGTGGTCCGGCGTCTGGGACTGCGACTCTCATACCTAATAAATCTGTAATTTGTAATTAATGTGAAAAATTGCCGCCCGAGACGGGGAACAAGCCTAAATTGTTATTATATGGCCGAAGTCCAAGTTCCAGTCTCAGGCGAGTGTGGGTCAGAGTCATAACTCTTCCACAAGTTCGCCAGTGTCTGTTTCATAAATATAAATTAAGCCACTTGACTAACGCGCAACGCGTGTTCGAGTCTGTGCCAGAAAAAGTGAAAACTTGGTCAACCGATTTACTTTGCCAAAAAAAAAAAAATAAACAAAACCAGACATACACGAAAGCCTGAAAAAAAATTTTTATTGCACTTACCGTCGCAGGTCGCTTAGATGATGGCCCCGAGATGATGGCACATGGCTCCATTGTCTGCTGAAAGCAACTCATGCGGTGTGATTAATATGGAAGGTGGCCAAAAAAATCGTAGAAGCGGCTGGACAGCAAGATAAAAATAAATTTGAAAAATAGTTATTTATAAACAATGAGACAAGTCAATCAGGGAAGTAAATAACAAAGAAATTAAGCTTTCCTTCAATCGGGGCAAGATATTGCCTTTAATCAAAATAATAATGTAGAACTTTGTTTTTTCTCGTAAATAAAAAAGAACAGGCCAACGGAAAGAGTTAGCTGGCATTTTGCTAATTTAGACTTATCGTACTAAAATACTTATCTTACTTAATTTAAATTTATAAAAGCGAGAATTAAAAATAATTTTCTTGAATTAAAAATAACAATAACCAGAGCTCACGGTTCATAGGTTTTCTATTATGCTTAGAAAAGCACAGTTTATCAAAGTCAATTGATCAACGAAATTTTGTTGGGTTTTGCAAACAAACAAAAATCATTTGAAGATACGAGTATAAGAATATATGCAGTGTAAGAACTAAAAAAAAAGTATATATGTTGTTTTTAAGTGAAGATCTTCGGCATAAGATACCAAAACTCCAGGGACTCCTAACAAAAGTAAACATTTTGTATTTCCAAAGACTTCCTTCTTCTTTTTAGTTTCGTTTTAGGAGTTCTTGAAAAGAGTTTGCTTTGATGTTTCTAATTTTAGAGCTATACTCTGCCAGGCAAAAACCAGCATCTGGAACATAATTCAGCCATTAAGTAAAAGACAATCAAATTGCTTTAAGGTCGCCTGACAGCGAATCGGGCGTAAAATGTCTGCATGATTGATAATATTCGAAAGTAGCAAACAAGGCGACCGCAACGGGAACTCTGAAAATACGAGTATTTGGCCATATTTGCGATATAACCCCCGATGCCCCCGCCGATTCGATGCGGATCGAGCAGCGGGGGCAGTTCAATTGCTACCCGGTCAGTCACCGAATGAAAACAATTTTTATATTTTTTTTGTATTGGTTTTTGTTTTGGTTTTGGCCAAAAGGTAACGCAGCTGAGCGAGTGAGTGATTCAATGGAGCAAAACGTGAGCTAAAGACGTGATCCAACAACAACAATTGCGGCAACAACCAAAAGCGTTTATACGCCTGATGAGCGAAACTGTGGGGCGGCCGAAATGCTCGAATCGGTCGGCCTTTTGAAACGATATAAAAATTTTTGTTATTCACTTGTGATATTTTATTTTTCCCAACAAATCAATCACAATGATTATGATAAATGATTTCGGCATTTTTTATTTATTCACTATTTTCTTTCAAAGTTTCATTGTCTGAATGTTATATATATCTCTCAAAGTTTTTCGACTTTTTTTTTTGCATTATTAAGCCGGATAATGGGCGATCAGTGAGCTGAGCTTGTAATTGCTGGCTTATAAATCACAGTGAAAAGATATAATTTCGGGATCCGATGATCTGTTGGCCGTTGGCTGACTCTTTGATTAGCACATTTGTCTGGAGTTTCACTTTTAACGTACACACCGCTGACCCATTGAACTACAAATACTTGTGGATTTTTTTTCCTACCAACTCACCTTTAATGCTGATTTATTTCTAGCATTTTTTTTATCAGCAATTTTTAATCTTGTTAGGAAACTTCATTAGTGTCAACCGACAGTTTTCTTGGGCTGATTAATGTGTGTCAGACGGGAGGGAAACTTTTCGGTAGCCTGGGTGGAAAAACCTGTCCGCCACCCATGGAAACTCTGCCACAATGGCCACGCCCCTTTTGTGTTAGTCAACGGCATTAAGTCTTTAGTTTGGAATTATTAATTGGGGTGGACGTTGGGGGTGTGCATAGTAATGAGGTGGGTTTGTGTAAATAAAATAATAAGGATAACCATGCACAACCCATGGGCATTCCATAGTTGCAGGAAAAATCAACTTTCGAATTACAGTAGGCAATCGAAAGATTTGCTAATAAATTGTCTTACTAAAAAAATTATAGCCAAAACTTTAAGCTAACAAAAATTGTAAAATTTACAGTGTTTTTTAGTTATCTATTTCTGTTTGTTATTTCACAATATTAATTTTTTTTTTGATTTATTACAAATATTTTATATGTTTTAAATTTTGTTATTGAAACTAATAAACCATTTTATTTGTTACTTTTAATTTATTTATTAATATTAATATTAATAATTATTTAAAGAGTTTTTATTTAATTCTTGCTAGTAAAAATACACAGGCTTTGTCAGGGATATTTTACTGTACTTACTAACCAGCTCAGGTTGCCGACCAGTTTTGGTCACCAAATTTGACAACATTTGCCAATATTTATGAATTATTTTATGTTATGTGCTATATATTACAAATAGCTTGTTTCGGGCAACTATAGTTAACAAGTTTGACTGCTCCATTGCAGAGTTGCCCAGCCGCAGACGACGCGATCCAGGTGCAGTTCCCGCTCCCGATTCCGATCCCGATCTAAATTCAGATCGATGTGGCCGGAGCCCACTGACTGAGGTCCGCCCGAAGGTAGAAAATGGTGGACGTTTACCAGGATGCCAGCAGCACGCTGCGCTCCGTGTTTCCCAACTCGCGGCTGGACTCGCTGGCCGGAGTGGATCGCCGGGTGGAGAGTCAATTGGCGGGACCGCCGGATCCGGATGCAGTCACCACGCCCTCGAGCATTGGCTACAATCCGCTCAACGACGACGACTGGTGGGCCAATGCCATCGAGGTGGACACCTTCGACTCACCGCTGGCCTTCGATGCCAGCGAAAATGGACTGTGGAACGGACACTTTGTGCCGCCGCCGCCCCGCCCGCCCTTCCTGGATGAAAGCGTCGCCGCCGACGGCCTGACCACCTGTGATCTGTGCACGTGGGCATGGCAGCGGAATGCCTACTCCCTGGACGGTTCGATAGGTGAGTACTACCCTGCGTATAATCCAATACCTCCTCCTCGTCTCCTCATCAAGGGTACCGGTCCCTCTGCTCCTGTCGTTTTTCAATTAAAACTCCTTGCCAAGACAATAATCTGGCGGCCGTGCATCGATCGCTGATATCAATTTATCAAACTGATGTTGGGCGTGCGTGGCTCGATTGCTTTTCGGCAAGCAAGATGGAAAGACTCCTCCTTCGCCGATTTTTGCACTAAAAAAAGACAAATTTTATAATATTCTAAAAAAAATGTCATCAAATTAGACCACATCCCAATTATTTTTTTTATAATATTTAATCTTGTATAGAAGCAACAAACAACTTTTAAATGTATTATTTATTTTATATTTAAATATTATCTACTTTTGAAAAACTGAAAGACATAGATGCTATATATTTATTTATTTCTTATTAAATTTTTTCGTTAAAACCCAAGTGGAGTTTTCATAAATTTGTTGACTGTTGTAAACATATTTCCCCTCACTTCATGAATATTTTTTGTTAACATATTTCCCCTAATTTCTTGAATATTTTTTTAAGTGCACTTGCGTTTGCAAATTTAATTTGCACACATAACTCTTTGTGGCAGCTTTTGGTTTAGGCGTTGTTTCGCCAAAGTTTCGAGCCCGCGATCCGGGGATCCACCAGCACTATCGCCCCGGCACATCGCCAGTAATTTGTCTCTGCGCTTGTAAAAGAAACCAGGCGGTAAGAGAAGGGAAAAGCGGCGGCTTAGACGCGGAAAAGTTTATGAAAATATGAAGCAATGGGCGTGGGCCGGGGCAGATGGGAAAGATAGAATAAAGCCAGCCAGCAAGCTTTTTAATTTATCTGAGAACAAATGAAGCTAGTCAGAGGGGGAAACAAAGTCGATTGGCCAGCGGAAATTTGGGGAAATGCACAGCTAAATTAAACTCCTCAAACTCCAAATTAAAATCCAGCTTTCATTTACGTTAAATGCAAATTTTGCCCTAAGGCGAAATACCTGTTAGAACTCACCACATAACCCAAAAAATACTCGTAATAGCACAAAGCGAATAGCAAATGACCTCTGTCCATATGTTTATGATAAAGATGTGCGCGTGACACGAATGTTGGTAATGACAGTTGAAAATAACTTCAATTTATATACATAGCTCGAACATTTTTTACCACGAAAATACAAATCCAGGAAATATCTTTTATGAAACTAGTGAAAAGATTGTTAGTCGTGTCAGGATATTGTTATCGTATACATTATTTATTTCAAACATAACTCAAACTATTTTTCTTGTGGCAAAAAGTCGTAATAAGTCCAAATACTTCGTACTAAATTTAAAAATTTAAATATTACAGTTATTAAAAAACAGTGAAACTGATTTCAATACTACAAATTGTAATATTAAAATTTAAATTAAATAAAATGCTTTAAAATAACTTATTATTAAATCATTCATTTAAATTACTATGATTTTATATTTAACTAATATATTGAATATAAAATGTTGAATTCAATAGTCAGATATTATTTTTTTCCACTTTCATTTTTTTTCATTCACGAGCACCTCTCTGATAAACAATCCTCACTGTGGGATGGGATATGGCATGGCATTTAGCCGTTTGCCGTATTTGATTTCCAGGAATCGCTTTCAGGGCAAATTGAAGTCATTATACATAGTAAAACTCCACTGAGCTGAGGTCCGAGCTCCAAAACGCAGGCTGCGATGGGTGCCTTGCGTTATTAGGCTAATTATAGAGCCGGAGTGGAGCTAGTGGCGAAACATTTCAGCTTTTCAGTATACGTATATAAATGACTTTATTCATGCCGACTGGGCGACTGTTTGTCGCGCCGAATGTCTGGGATTTCCTGTGGGCCCAACGACGTGTCAACTAATTTGCAACACTCACCTGGACGTGGGGCACCACTTCCATGGAAGAACCTGCGGCAGCCTTTGGCAAATATTTTATATTTTTTGCAGTTTTTTTTTTTTTTGCTTTTTTTTGCGAAGGGATTAAGCCCGCTCTGAGAAGAGCCGCTGGAAAAAAATTTGACTAATGTCTTAATTTTGTGTTAGGTGTTTGCTGCGGTTCGTTTCAGTTTTAGGGTTCCAGTCATATCGGCTATGGCGGTACGCTACACCATGAATACTCCCTGAAAAAAAGCGGAAAAGTCGTGCCTGGACTGCAGCGAATGCCATTCACTTCGCTTCATCTCGTCGGGTCTCTAAATTGAGTTTTTGCATGTCGTGCCCATGTCTGGGGACTTTGCTTTGTTTCAGTCTATGTTTCTGCGGCTGTTTCGGTTCTCTGCCGCTGAATTGACAGCTGAATAAAATGTTATTATATTTACACCATAATTTGCATGGCAATTAATCAAATGGCATGCGAAATTCGACAACGGCCACGGAAAGGTAAAGGCAATCCCAGGCGACACATTTAGTTGGTGGGTGCCGAGGTATTTCTGGGAATTATTCTAACAAAGTTTCGAAGCGAAAACAAAAAGCAAACCAAACAAGTTTCGACCCGCCTAAATGTCTTTATTAGGAGTTCAGCTGGCTGAAAATGGAGCTCGTTAGGGTGAGCAAAAAACGAGGTATGAGATTTATTTAAAAATGGATGCCTAGGCAATCGTTATTTTCGGGAACACGAAAGGAAATGTATAAAAGGTTTATATCAAATTAGGAAGTTTATCAAAAAATGTAAAGTTTTCTATTTAAAGTTTATAATTATTGACTCTACCATTTAATAAAATTTTTGATTCTTGGAAATATAATATTGAAATATGCTATTAAAGAATTAGTTTATTGGTTAAGATAAATATTTAATCCTAATTTAATATAAGGAAACCGGTTAGTTGTATCGCTAGCAAATGTTTTGCCTTTATGCGAAACACTTCCATTCATTGAACGATTTCAGCAATAGGATATCCCCATTTTTATGGCACTTCCTGCTAATTTAAGCCACTCGATTAGCCATTCTAGCCTCAGATGCTTTTGCTTTATGGCAGATTAAGTTAACCGCTAGATTAGTTCAACAACATATTTTCCATAATTTATGCCCCACTTTATGCCTCAAGTCGCACCCATAGCAATAACAAAACGAAAAAAATAGCATAAAGGGTAACAATTCTATATTCTGCAAATATTTACAGCAATTTGTGGCACAATAATAAAAATGAAAGGTCTCAGACCGAAGCCAAAGTCAAAGCAAATGAAACCAAACCAAAACCAAATGAAACCCAAAAAAGGACTCGTGCTTGACTTTGTGCGGCTGTTGAATAAATGTTTTATAGCAATAACAACGATATCAACAACATCAGGGGAACAATGAGGAAAAGGCAACGTTCGTCCAACAAAACAGCAGCTGTTGAGGTCGGCGGCTCCTTCCGCCTATTTTGATATTTTTATTGTGGCGGTGAAATAAATTCAAATAAATAAATTTAAGTTGCTGCTTTTGGTCGCATAAAGCATTACATGGCAACGAAACGAATTCTGAAGTTCTCGCCCTCCCATTCTGGTCCATTAGAGTCTTTGTACTGCCTACACCATAAATATTGAAGGACCATAGACGAAAACATTTATTGCCTGATTTATGCTAGCTCAACGAATTTCGAAAAGTTATTTCCCTACAATAACAGGATTAGTAAAACATATGATGCCATAAAAACTGGAGAGGAGAAAACGACTTAGAACTTTAACAGGTCCTTTAAATGTGATAAATGTATGCCTTTTATGTGCCTAATGCAATTAATAAGTAATTTTCTTAAAATGAAAAATGAAAATGATAAGCGTTTTTCTTCAGTGTTTAGAACATAAAGAATTTATTCTTATTTTCATTAATTGACTTTTAAGTTCTTGCAAAGACTTCGCTGAATTTAAATTTTATTAGACCTCTTTTGAATTGTTTTATGGCTTGGATTTAAATGTTAATCCATCTTCTTCCATCCGCAAACGAAAAATACAATATTTTCCGCTCCGACTGTGTTCACTGACCATTGGCCACTGCTCGTTAGCGCTAAGCTTTTGGCCAAATACATGACTAATCTGAAGATTATGAAATTTATGCAAAACCGCAAGAGACGAGATTCCTTTTTTTCGGCATCTGTTGTGAGATATTCCAACTGTAAGCGGAAATGAATGAGTTTTTGTAGAGTTTTTTATTTGTTCTTTCCACTTTTTGTGATGTACTACCTCGTGGTTCCTTCTGTGTGCTCTGAGTCGTATAATTGTTGCAGCAAACGCACTGTGGCCTGAAGCCATAAAAAGTAAACATAACACACAGCCCCCGAGGAGCTGAATGGAAGTGAGAAAACTTATTTGCTATTTTCATGGAATTTTCCATAATTTCTGCTTCGCTTGTTGCTGGAGTTTCCTCCTAGATTTTGTTCGCTTTTTTTGTGGTTTACCCCCACCAGTCATGCAAAAATGTTTTAAAAAGATAAACAAGAAACGCTCGGAAAGAGATCGAAAAATTATTATTACTGCCAGTGCATCAGAAAGATTATGATGGTACTGGTTCTGGTCTCTGTGGTGTGTGTCTTTTTATGTGTGGGATTTTTTTTTTTCCATAATATTTTTAACTTTGTTTACATTTTGCATTTTTATTGTGGCGTCGTCGTGGAGCAATCCCTTGCTCAGTTTTGCTCCGCTTTTGTTCCTTTTTTAATCAATTAGGGCAAGACTTGCGTAGGGGGAAGAATCGGAGTCCCCGGGCAGAAAAATGAGATCGCAGCCCCGAGAAACGTGCTGGACCACACACACACACTGTATGATGAACTGAATAATGCGGGCGCAGAACTAATAGAATTGCTGAAATGCTGATTAAAATAGTTTTCACTTTTTAATTACAATTTATGAGTTTAATTTCGTGCCATTATTCCCGAGGCATCGTCTGGATCATTTTGTTACAGTGGCAAAATCAGCTTGATGATTTTCGATACCAATTTTCCCTTATCAATTAAAGAATTCGAAAGAAATCCTCAAAGTATCATATTTTTTTAATTATTG